GCCCAGGAAGCCTCGCTCAAGAACCGTGTCTACCTCCGCTCCCCGCCCTCCTACAAGCCCTCGCAGTGCACCCCGCTCTTCCTCGCCGCCTTCACCCGCCGCGGCGCCGGCTGCTGCATCCACACCCACTCCCACTGGGCCGTCCTCGTCACGCTCATCCTCGAGGGCCGCGGCCCGGGCAACGACAAGCTCTTCGAGATCAACAACATTGAGCAGATCAAGGGCTTCGGCAAGGGCTTCCAGAAGCAGGGCAACCTCGGCTACCACGACACGCTCCGCATCCCCGTCATCGAGAACACGGCCCACGAGGAGGACCTGACCGAGTTCCTCGAGGAGGCCATGGACAAGTACCCCGACACCTACGCCGTGCTCGTCCGCAGGCATGGCGTCTACGTCTGGGGCGACAACGTCCACAAGGCCAAGACCCAGTGCGAGAGGTGAGTCAAATCAGTTGCCTGATGATGTTGACGCGCAGCGTTTTCCCCCATCTTGCCTCTTCCCGTGTCTCAATGGATCGTCATATGGCTAACACAGCCTGATTTAGCTTGGATTATCTGTTCCAGTTGGCCGTTGAGATGAAACAGCTCGGCGTCCCCTGGCTCAGCGACATTCCAGTCACAGTACCTACTAGGAAATAGACGTAGCATGATATCAATAAACCAAAAGAATTCGAGTTTCCACTTTACCTATGCCCATGCCACAAGGACCCTTCTCGGTATCGATTGCGGGGTATTGCAGGGTCGACAGCTAACACGCTCGCGCGAGGGAGGATATTGATTGGCAAGTAACACAAACATATCGGGTGCACATCTAGACGAATCACAACCTGGTTGTCAAGGGATTGGAATAGTTGATGATTTGCAGCAGACGATTTCTCGTCCACTGGCACATTACGATTGTTCCATATAGTCTGCCTACTCATTATTGACCGCATATACAGTGTACATCTCCCAAGTGGTATCTTTCCATCATCACCTCCTGATCATCCAGCTCATTCGTATTTTTCCAACCTCAAATGCAAGAAACGAAGAATGCCTATTCCATTTACAGAAGGGCAGCGGCGACGATACCGATGACACCGAAGGCTGCGGAGCCAACGAGAGCGGGGGCAGCGTTTCCGGTAGAGGTTCCGCTGGCAGCAGAGCCGGTGCCAGTAGCAGTTCCAGAGGCAGAGCCAGAAGCGCGGGTAGCAGAGCCGGTGGCGGCAGCAGTCTCGGAGCCGGTAGCAGTGGCAGCGGAGGCAGAGTTGCCGGAGCCGGAGCCAGAGCCGGAAGAGCCAGTGGGGTTGGGGGTGCCGCCGCTGGTGAAGTAGTACTCGGAGATGCAGCCGTCACGGCACTTCGCGAACTTCTCGGTGGCAGCGGCAGATCCGTCACCCTGGTCGCAAGCGGCAACGCACTCGGTGGTCTTGTTGATCTGGTCAGCGTTGGGGCTGGGGACCTGTATGAGCAGCACATGTTAGCGATCTGTGATACAATCCCTGAGAAAGCTTGGCTTCATTGCGCCTCCGCCAGGGAGGCACCCCAAACTTCGTGTGTCAGACTTACAGCAATGCACTTGGCCTGGCAGTTAACGTCGGTGGCAGGGCAGGCAGCCAAGCACTTGGTGATGGCAGCCTGAGCGGAAGTCTCAGCAACGGCGGCGCTGGAAGTGGCAGAGGCCGAGGACTGGGCGCTGGCGACAACGGCGAAGACGCCGGCAACGAGGATGGAGGTGAAGCGCATTTTGGCTGATGTTTGTGTGATGTATTACACGGGTGTATTAAGAATATCGATAGTCGGTATTGGGTCACACAACGAGAGTGATTGTAGCAGGCGTAAAGCAACGAACGTAGAGCAGAGGCTGAAGAGGGAGGGAGGGAAGGGAGACGGGAATCATGTGGATGGACTGGAGGTGGGTTTATAATAGCGTGTGCCCTGCGGGTGGTCTCTCCTCCTACACTAGGGGGAGGGAGAAAAAAAACCCATACCCATCTCTCCAGACGGGAAGTCGACATTGGACCAGGGCCTTTTCCTGCTTGGGGGTGTTGACAACCTGGGAAGCCAAGGTCCGCCCCAGGTGCCATGCTATGATTAGCCTCGAACTGGAGCGTTGCCGCCCCCCCGTCTTCTCGTGGCTTCTCATCACACCCACCCCATCTCTTCAGCTGATGTCTTGTTCGTGTCCTTGGGCCCGGGTATGCACACTTGTGCCTGCACGCAAGGGCGGTGTCTGGAGGAGTGGCTAGACGGGGTCTTGGGTGTGAGCTCAGAGACTCTAAGGATACGGATACCCAACGACAGCACCGAGGGCAACAGCCAAGCAAGCCCAAGACTGTGCGGGAAAAGACTTTGTCCTCGGTAAAGCAACGAGAAAGCGAGAGTGACTTGTGAGCCGCCCTTCAAGCCGGTTGCCCAGTCCCTGTTGCTGTGGGCAGAGACGCAAAAGCCAAACACAAGCGAGAAAGGGGAGCCATAGCAAGGTTGACTGACGATCGAATTGGATCGCGCCGCGTCCGGGGAAAGATTGGGGCCTCGAGACCTGCAGGCCGCCGCCCCTGGCCGGTCGATGGATTGTCCCAAGGAGGTTAAGGCACACGCCGTGCCTGACGTTAAATTGAAGAAGGTTGCCAGGTACTACTTCACGTAAGATTAGAGTAAAGGTACCTCCCGTCACCTTAACGGAGGTAAGGTAAGAGCCATTGAGAAGCCATTGGAAAGGTCGCGCTGGGCCCCTGCGAGGGAGACAGAGACCGGGAGAGATTGGGAGAAGGTTCCCTGTGACTCGTAAGGATGCCTGCGCAAGTGGATCTGCTCAGGACCAACTTGCCCAATTTTAAAATTGCGCTGGGCTTTTCCCTTTGGCGACTGTCGTGCACCCCCTCGTCTTGCCATGTTGATTCGCCCGTCGCCTGCTCCGTTCTCCATTGGAAGGACTTGCCGGGTACCCATTATTACATCAGTGTGGAGGGCCGTTGGTCTGGTGGTCTGTTCGTATTCCACTCTCGATGTTGTCGAGGCCTCTATCGAACCTTGCCACGGCTCCATCCACCATTTGTTGTTTGTTTGCACGCTGTTTTCCTCGGAGGGGCTTGGGATGGCTGACCTTTCGCGGAAGTACCAGCCCAGCGTGGTGTGGTAGTCGATTGACCTCGACTCGTGCAGACTTCGGACGAAGTTGGGTTGACAGCCAAGCAATGGCTGGCTACAAGGGAAGGAGAGGGGAAAAAAAAAAAAAAAAAAGAGCACTCGTTGACCGTGACACGAAAGAAGCGCGTCTCGAGGAAATGCAAGGTTCCTGGGAAAATGGTACCGTATCATTGGCCCAAGTGACCTGCACCTGTTTCAGGGCCCCAACTCGACAGCGCACCTCAGTCGACCCGTCGACGGAACAAAGCGCTGGCGGCTGGATGCTAGAGCGCCACACTCTATGCCACCGCTGCAGTAGCTTGGTGCCTGGCCTGCAGACTCGATTTTCTCGACGGCCTTCGTTTTTCTGCTAGAAGCAACAGACACTGGTACAATGCCTGTCTAGGCCAAATTTCGGAACGTCCAGGAGGAATCAATGCAGCCGTGTGCCAACGGTCTGTTCTGAGGAGTCCAAAATGAGCACTAAATGCGAGGGAGTCTTAGCGAATCCCATCTGCCGCCAAGCTGTCGTACTTTCTCCTCCCAGGCACCTAGGCTCGACACACGACAATGAGTCGAAGGGAATAGCGATCCTCCATTCTTGAAGCGGCATCGGTGACCTCTTCTCCATCAGTCCACTGGGAATACTCCCCCCAAGGCCCCTTGCGACCTAGATTCGTTTCGAACGACAATGAGTGACGGCTTCCAGCAGGGACGGCATGGACATCCGTCCAAACGAACTAATATCGGCCAGTTTCATTTGCGCACTTTACTCCCGACCGACAGCCGATCATCGTCATATGCCGTCACCCGTGAGCCAGCGCCGACTCCGACACGGCAACGACTTGCACAGGACCAGCGGGCTGGCATGGAGGGGATGCGCAGCGCCGTTTGGCACACACACACAGCATTCTCACCACCGCTCACATGCCCGTCGTCAGCAGCGGCGAATGGGAAAATGCGATGCCCAGTCCAATGAGTGTGTTCACTTCGCCTCATAGGATTTGCGTACGAAGTGCATGAATACGAGATGCCCATCAACCACACCACTCGGTCCTGGATCTGCGATCTACATCCTCCGGATATAGTACCACCTCCCAAGACACCAATGCCGTGCCGGTAGGCCCGTACGAGCCACCACACCCGCCTGAGAGGAGGCGCCGTCAGGCCTCCGTGCGTGGCGATGCGCCAGTCCAACTCACGTCCTTCTCCCGGTGTCATCGAAGAACGATTTGGAACGAAAAAAGGAATCCGTTCTGTTGTGGGAACGTCGACCCAAACGAAGTCGGTACCACCCCGGGCTGCTGCTACACAATTCTTTTGGTAATGGGAATAAACGGAATGGCACCGGCTGCATAGACCAATGCTGCCGCCCTGCCCGACCAGCCCATGGCCCGGAAATTTCACCACGTCATGCCGTTCTTCTTCCATCCGAACGTTAATGGACTTTCAATGCGAAAAGCGGCGACCCCTGCACTGACTCCACGCCATCTTATTGGCCAGTTGCCCAGGAGTTCTCGACTGCGTACTAGGAAGAGGGCATTTCAACGACGTTTGTTAGATGTCAAAATAAGCTCGGCAGGACAGGACATGCGACGAGTCGCAAATCCGCCGTCTGATGTAATACTGGTAGGGAGACCGGATTGAATATCAACCCAGGAACGCCTAGTTTCAACGGAAGACCGGTGTCAGGAACAAAGAATAATCAACGGGGCATCTGACGATTCAGAGACACGATGTGCGCCACCCCCAGCCCATCCATGAGCCGAGAGCTGGAAACACCAAGGCGTGAATCGGATATTTGACCATGTGATGGTATTTCTTCTTCTAACGAGACCGTCGGGCATTTCGCGCCTAAACGATGCAATGCTAGCCTTGCACACCTGTCTGACTTTACAGCTCATCTCTCTGTCTAACCTCCTCTTGCGCCCCTTGCTTTAGATCATTGTCGGGCACCGGGTCAACCACGACCTCAGCATCAGGCTTCTCGTCAACAACACCATCGTCACCTTCTGTCGTCGCCTCTTCGCCGATCTCCGCAGGCATCTCCTCCACAATCTTACCCACCTTCTCAAGCAGTGATTCGGGATCCCCACCAACCGCCGCCGATCGTTGAGGCTCACGCACGTCCAATGTGGGCAAAGACTCGTCAGGGAGACCCTCGACGTCAATCTTTCCTTCGCCCCCAACAACCACGGACTCTGATGCGCCCCCGGAATTGGCGTACTTGACAACCGCCCTGCTGCTGCCGATGCTAACATTGAACATCAGCCGCAAGGGCAACCAGACCAACCACCACATCGGCCCGTACAGCAACCTCCTGAACAACAGCCACGCCCCTGTAGCCATCAGCATGTAGAGAGCCGTCTGCAGGTACCATGTATCACTCTTTTGCGACCGCAACAATGTGCCCAGAAGATCCTTCGAGCTCGCCAGCATCGTGTCGAGAGAGCCGTACGACTCGTTGAGCTGCTTCAAGGCCTGCGAAGACTCCTCCAACGCTTGGTGCGCAAACTCGCTCCTCGCCAGCTCCGCAGCGATTCGTTCGTGCGTCTGCCGCAGCGCATTCGTGACATCGTTGCTCGCCCCTACCGTCTGCTTGTCGTCCTCCGTCAGGGAGCTCGTGTTCCAGTCGTCTTTGGCCTGGCGCACCTGCCGGTGCCGAACGATGTCGGGCAGCGGTGCCTTTTGCGCGCCGAGGGACGGGGAGGACGCTTCGGACACGGGTTGTGAATAGGACTGTAGGAGGAGCTCGCGCTCGAGGCGTTGCGCCTGTGTGAGGTTGCGCTTCGCTGTGAGCTGTGCCTTGCGGAAAGTGACTCGAGAACTACATTCGCAAGAAGTCAGTATAAATGCCGTGAAAATCCCAGGCAAGATGTCTGTGAACGAGGGAATTCCTTACGTCTTCAGCTCCTGCCTTAAGCGGTCGAGTCCATCTTTAAGCCGCGTCTTGGTGTGTTCCGCCTCGCTTCCCGGTCGCCCGTCCCTAAGGTCCTCGACCTCCTCGCCCAAAAGCTCAAGCTCCTCCTCTTCCTCCCTCAAGATCTGACTGATCTCGGAGCTCAGCTCTGCGCTGACATCGCTGTCCTCGTCCGCGCCGAGCGGCACCGAGCCAGGCTGGAACTTGAGATTCTGGAGCCTGTTGATGAGCTCCTTGAGCTGCCCCGTGGTCTCTTGCAGGGCCGTCAGGCGTTCCTGCAGACCCTCGAATGACATGTCGTCTCTGTAATTCGGCTTCGTTTGTTTGCGGAGTTTCGAGGAAGCGAATAATTAGAAGGCGTGCGGCGAATGTGGTGGTTTTGGCTTCCTAGGGAGTAAAGCTGGCCTTTCAGTGACGAAATGTCGTACCTAAGTGGGATCGCCACACCAACTATGCCCCTGGCCCCGATACAGTAATATGCAGTAAAACCACCCGAGCACAAGCCACAACCGCCGTCCAAGCTCCCGGCCCCGAGCCACGCGGAAATTTTGGTGACAGCTTCACGATTCCGACCGCAGGTCCCTCAGAAAAAAAGCTCCCCCGCCTTGAGACCCCTCCGAGAACGAGCAACAGGACATAGGAACCAATTGGCGTCACCGCCCAACACCGTTGCCCAAGATGATCACCAAATTCATGACCGAGATCACCACGAAGTTCAACCCTTTCTCTCCGGCAGCAAAATCCGCACGCCTCTTCCTGTCCTTCATCCCGCCCACCGCCCGGTCCACGGGCATGGTGATCAACACCCAGCTCCTGCCCAAGGGCTCGACGGAGGCCCCGACTCTGAGCGTCAAGTTCAGTACGTTTAGTCCCGCCCTGCATCCGCTCGCTGCGGCTCTAGGGGCTGCGATGCAAAGCAAGGAATGATCAGAAGCTAATTGGAAATTTGCAGAGGACGGCAAGGTCATGAACCTCGATTGCGAACGCTTGGGAGTTAAGAACCTCATCGAGGAGGTCGACCGACACTCTCGTGGTCTGCAGAAGGCCGCCGATTTGACGGACTAAGGAGTGGGATAGACAAAATGTGTATTATTATGGCATTTGCATGTACGGTACGGCGTTTACGGGATGGGCATGAACGATATCCCCAGGGAAATGTCGATTGAAGTATATACGGTGGCTTAAAAGGTGTAGCATGTTCGCAAAGCACAGAGAGGGGCTTGATACATAGCCATTGGCATGCAACAGGGCCGCCCACGGAGCTCATTTCCCAGCTCATCTTGATCTCACGCGCATTGGATCTGATATCATGTGTGGAATTTTTACTTTTTGGTATTTCTAAGTTGACGCCTCCTCACGATCGGTCTTCGACGTTGTTTTCAATTGCATTTACTAGCAAAGCGACAATACTTCCATGGGAAAGGAGGCGTCCGCTCGTACCTGCTCAGGCCGGCACTGAGCACGTTTATGCGGAGGCACCGCTGATGAAGAACCACTTGTCGATGGACGCGTCGATCTTCTCGGCGGGGAGCTCCTGGTGCTGGGGCAGAGGGGGCAGCTGCTCGGGGGCGGTGCGGGCGGGGGAGTGCTGGACGGTGACGTTGGCGCTGTAGGCAATGGTTAGTCGATGTGCTCTTTCAAAGGGTTTTGTCTAGCTGTCGCATGATGGACTTACGTAGAGACGGAGCCGGCAGCGGTCTTGCCGGTGATGAGTCTCTCCCAAGCCTCACCGCACTCACGGACGACGTCCATGGCGTAGCTACGTGATATGTTAGCAATTGTCCAAAAAAGCAATTCATGATCGAGACCAACCTCTTGTTCTTGCACTCGCCAGTGAAGGCGAACTGGTTCTCGGGCTTTCCGTCAGGGATCTTGTAGATGCGGAACCACTCGTTGGTGGCACGGAGAAGGCCGGGCAGGTGGCGCTCGACGTCCTCGACGTCGTTCAACTTGGGAGCCAGGGGGTCGTTGACGTCAATAACGATGACCTTCCAGTCGGTCTCCTCCTCGTCGAGAAGGGCCATGACACCGAGGACCTTGACCTGCTTGACCTGGCCGGTGTAGCCAACAAGCTCACCGATCTCGCAGACATCGAGCGGGTCGTTGTCACCCTTGGCCTTGGTCTCGGGGTGGACAGCGTTGGGGTCCTCCCAGGTCTGGGGATGGGTTAGACAATGTTGTGTGCAGCGATTCTTGAGACGGCGAGCTATCGTACCTGGGGGAAGGCACCGTAGTTCCACAGGTAACCCTTGTGGGGGAAGCAGTTGCGGACGTAGCGAAGCTTGCCCTTCTTGATGTCCTGCTTGATGGGGTTGAGGAGCTCCTCCTTGGAGATCTGTGTTCGAAGTGTCGGTCAGCGCCACATGCCCATTGTGTGTTTTTCTCCCCCGGTTTGGAATCAACAATGTTTGCAAATGCCAACAAAGGCAGCTGCGTACATGAGATTCATTGAGGGGTTGAAGGTCAATCATACCTCAAGCTTGGCGTTGGTCCAGCGGGGGATCTCGACGACCATGTTCAGGATGGTCTGCTCGGCGTTGGCGTACAGAGGAATGTCGTGGAAAGGGGAGACGGGGACGCCATCCTTCTCGACGTAGACGCGGTGCTCGAGGGTGTTGGGAGCACCGACCTTGCGGACGGAGTACTGAGAAGCCATGGTGGTGTCTTGCTTGTGCAGGCTCGGGTCAGAGTCTTTGGAGATGGTAGAGAAGTGGCGGGCAATCTGAGCGGTGCGCCGGGAGGGAATTTTGGATTTAATATCGGCTGCAGCAGATTGTGATGGAGGAGGAGGGGTGCTGCGGTTGGCGGATGATGCAAGGAGGGATGGAGGGGGAGGGGTAGCAGACCCGGCTGTTAGCTTGGTGCGTGCCGCCAGGGTTGCTGAGTGATTGGCCCGGGACGGGGCCTGAATCGGGGACAGAGGTGAGAGGGTGGAACGGGCGCTGGGTCGGGCGGACGGTACGACGCCTGGGAGCGAGCCTGAGCCTGAGCCGGAGGGTGCCTTCGCTGAGAAGAGACGTGTCTTGGTGAGCGTTGGCTGCAGCTTAATGCCTCGTAAGAGCGGCATGTATACAGTGGGTGAATGGAAAGACGGAAGAAGGGAAGGGTGTGGTAGATGGGGATTAGGGGGTTTAAGCTCTGTTACAGCACACGTCTTCAGAGGGGATAACTGCTAAGTCGGTCTGTGAGCGGTGTCTGCATCCGAGGTTCGACGGGAGAGATGAGGTGCGCCAGACGCTAAGGCGAATGGAAGACGAAGCCGGACTCTCAGGTCTTGTTAAGCTCGGTAGCTCGGTGGTTCTGCGGTGGGAGGGGCGCTGGAGCTCTCACCTTCGGATTTAGAAGCACTGCGCCGTACACGCGGCAATCGGGGCTGCAAGTCTGCTGTTGATACAACGGGGCAAGCAAGGCAAGGGAAGAAACCGGGAGAACCTCTTGGTCTGCGTTCTGGGTCTGCCTCTCTGTGTCTGAGGCCTCTGTCGCGACAGCAACCTTGCCGAAAAATCTTTACCAGCCTCAGGCGCTATTGTCTGATCCCTGTAAACTGCCCCTCAATTACCCCTCCACCGCATCTTGGACAGTGAATGTACAACGCAGTATCCATGAAGTGTCATGGCTATATCGAGTACAGCAAGGATATGAAGCCAATTGAGCCGTTCCTGTGAGGTGGCAAAGCTGTACATCTTGGTTTGCACACGAGAAGCCAGCAAACATGCCGAGTCGAATTGCGGCATGGAGTCAGCTACTGACCGACATTCCAGCTTCACATGTGAGAGCTTTGACACCTTGAGGTCCTCCCCAACGATTTGGCCCGGACAAACCCAAGCTCATCAAGCCCATTCAAAGCTGTTTCTTCAAGACCGTCTGCGTCTCCTGCATGTCAATACTCCGCTTATATTGACGTGACAGTTGCTGGTGGTTGAGGATGTAACAGGAATAGTAGAAGCGGTCGTTCGCTGGCAATCTCCATATCTTCGTTATGTTTGTTATTGTTTTGCACTTGTCATTATCACCAGCAAAGTCTGTCCTAATTTGCGCCGTGCATCACAGAGAGGCGAAGTAAAGTAGCTGCTACGTTCTAGAAGGAGGTGTACATAAAAAAGACTGCCGTAGACTATTAATATCATTGCATATAATCTAACACTACTGATTCGGGTCTGGCCAAATTTACCTGTAAGAGGAATAGTATATTAGACAAGAGAATCATAGAAAACGCCAATAAAATTAAGCAATGCAGAGTCTTGGGCAAAGGGTCGGATTGAATGAGACCTTCCAATGTCGTGAGCTCGATGTTGAAGAAAGATTAAGTGGGTCTATTTCGATAGACGCTTATCGATAAGGCACAGCCTGTCACTTTTCTCCGTTGCTAACCCGTCAAGGCATCGCCGCATAGAAGATCCTCGCGCGCAAGACTCACATCTTCTCCAGTCGCAGACTATGTGGCATAATATCTGTCCCTGACATGTCGGTTCGCAGTATCCTCAAAACGATGGCATCCGAGATCAAGAGAGTTCCTATCCCCCGCCGCGGGGTCGACTACAGGGGCAAGATTGTCCTTGCGCCCATGGTCCGCTCTGGCGAACTCCCCTCTCGCCTCCTAGCCCTGCACTACGGTGCCGACCTGGTCTGGGGTAAGTCGCAAACACGCAAACACAATGACTCAACTGACAAGTCCATAGGACCCGAGACTGTCGATAAAGCCATGATCGGCACCACGCGCCGAGTAAATCCCGTCACGAATACGATCGACTGGACCAAGGTCCCCTCCTTTGGCCAGAAGAACCCTCCTAAAACGAATCCCGAAGCTTTGATGTTCAGCACCCTCCCTGAAAAAGAGGCCGGCAAGCTGATATTTCAAATCGGAACGGCCGACCCTGAGCTTGCAGTTCAAGCGTCAAGGCTCGTTGCGGCGGATGTGGCCGGTATCGATGTCAACGCCGGCTGCCCCAAGCCCTTCAGCATCAGCGGCGGCATGGGCGCGGCCTTGCTGAAGACTCCGGACAAGCTTTGCGCCATTCTGGAAGCTCTTGTCACGAACATCATGCCCGAGTTTGAAATTGGCATCAGCGTCAAGATCCGTCTGCTGTCCACCCCCGAGGAGACAGAAGCTCTGGTACGGAGACTATGCGCCACTGGCATTACCGGCCTGACGATTCACTGCCGAACGACTCCCATGCGCCCCAGAGAACGCGCAATCCGCAACGATCTCCGCATGGTCGCTGAAATCTGCCATGAGTTCGGTGTTGCCTGTATCATGAATGGCGACGTTGAGGGCCGCGACCATGCCGTGGACCTCATTAAGGAGTACGGCGTCGACGGCGCCATGATCGCCACGTCTGCAGAGGCGAACTCGAGCTGCTTCCGTGCGGGCGTCGACGGAGGCGTAGCATCGTGGGAAGAGGTCGCTGCAACGTACGTCAAGTATGCCTTGGAGGTTGCCAACAAATTCGGCAACACCAAGTATTTGCTGTGCCAGATCGTTCCCGGAAAGAGTGGCATGTACCAGAAGATGAACCAGTGCAAGACCTACACCCAAATATGCCGAGCGCTTGGTCTCGACGATCTCATGGATCTTGCTCGACAAACAGACTGGGACAAGGGCATCGATCCAGAGGGCTCAGGCAAACCAGAAAAAGCTGAAAAGAAAGCCAACCCCAGTGCTATGGCAGCTGGTGGTAACATGAAGGCGAGCCGGGACAGCCAGACATCCCGAAAGATGTCTGAGCGAGGGGTCACTGCCGCTGCTGAGTCGAAAAAAGCGGCTGTCCCTTTGCAGACATGAGATGGTGATTTTGACGTTTAATCGCGAGGTGGTTTGCATCGAAGGCGTTTAGGGGGGTAACAACAAAGCATAGCGACACAAATATCACGAATACCCCTTTGGCAGGCCGGCCACAGATAATGGGGAAGACTAGATCTTTTTATGTACGAGCTCCGAATAGTCAGAAATGTCAAGAAGCCGAGTGACTCAAGCACATTTCTTCATGATGATAAATTTTGTGGAATTACAAAGGAACCGTCAGCAGCGGCTCTGGCCGCTTCTGCTTCTATGATACAGTCCCAACCCTTCTTTTATTTGCCCTTCTTCACCCAGTCCTCAACAGTCTCACGAGCATCCGTGACCTTCTCATCGACATATCGTACACCAATCTGGCTGTGAATCTTTGCCGCCCTCAAGCTGTCCTCGATGCTCTGGCGAATCTGGAGATGTCCCTGGGCGATGACAGGGAAGCGCTGCTCGTACTTCCAGGCAAGGTTGGAAACATTGCCCATGGTAATGGGCAGAACAGTCCAGCCGGCGGTGATACCAAGGGCCAAGGGCGCGGTGGCGCGGAGAATGACACTGCGGTTGCGGGTGATGATGCTGCCGGCCATGGCAGCGACGAGGACGTAGATGGCGCCGGGCATCAGCTTCTCGCCGCTCTCGCGGGGAGGTGCCAAGGATGCGATGGTGCTGGTGAAGGATTGCTCGAGGTTGAAGGCGCGGTCCATCGTGCGGTTGACGGCATCCTCAGCGCCGACGGCGTACTGGTACAGACCCAAGCGGGCCTTGCCGATCTGGACGGCCAGACGTTCGGTAGGCGTAGGTCCTCGGGGCTTGGTAGGCTCCTCGGCCGGAGGGAGCTGTTCCGTCGGGGGAGGGGGAGGGAGGGTTCCGCTAGTCGGGAGAGGCGCCGGCTCGTCGTAAATCGGCTTCTTAGACTGCGTACATTTTAGCATTGTGTGCGTATTGACTAGGAGTCCGACTGCGGACATACCTGGGCGGTCTCGGGAGCTTCAGCATGTACAGTCCGGGGAGCCAGGGCGAATCCCATCACGACGGTCGCTGCCAACGGCGCGGCGCGCTTTTGCTTCCATGTCAGCTGTCGAGTAAACCATGAAGCAACAGGATACCACGACTTACCCGTTGTAGCAACACTCTAGCAGCCATGGTCCACTCAATTGGTCGATTGAGGGAATTGGATGTTGGTCTCGCGAGAATATTTGGAAGTATGATGTACAGGAAAGTCTCCAGGCCCACGCTGCGGCTATTTCCGGAGCTCGGGAATTCGATAATGCACCTCGCCCAAACCTGGAAGCACCTATCTGAGCACCTGCACAACCTTGCACAAAAATTCGGTCCATGCACCCGCATGCGCAACTAATCGCATTGCCGGCAATTCTACTTCACCCAAACATATTCTACAATTCCGGATACAGATCCGAACTCACCCAACTCCCCATTTCCTTGTATCCTTACAACTAGATCTTTTGCCCCGACCAGCAGTTATGGTCTTTACGTCGAAGGGCTTCTCATAATGTTCAAACCCCCAAACCGCGGCCTCTGGGTCTGCACTCAATGTGTTCGACAAGCTTCCCGCGGCCAACAGCGCCGGTGGATGGCCGCCGCCTCCGGCGCCGCCCCCTCGAGTCTGCCCGCCGACCACGCACCCCCGGGTAGAAACGCTGACGATGCGATCCTGCGGGAACTCTTCGACTCTCCCTCCCGTGTAGCAAAAGCATTCAAGGCTGCTGGCCCAAGCGTCGGCCTATTCAAGAACCGATACCTCACGAGCCCAAATGGATTCTACGTATTTGCTCGCCGAAGCTTGGACAAGGCGCAAAAGATTGTCCATCGAGTCCTCCATGCGTCGACTGCTTCCGAGTATCAGGACATTGTCAAGGACTTGGATCGGTTGAGTGACCTGCTCTGCAGAGTCCTCGATCTCTCAGATTTTGTCAGAATGACGCACCCTGACCCGAGGTTCCAGCAAGCAGCTGCAGGGGCCTGGTCCATGGTATACCAGTACATGAACCAACTCAACACCATGACTGGGTTGAGCGACCAGCTTGTGAAGGCGATGGCAAAACCCGACGTTGTTGCGGCTTGGTCGGAGGAGGAGAGAACGGTGGCAGAGATATTGAAGTTGGACTTTACGAAGTCGGCCGTCGACCTCCCCCAGCAAGAACGTGACCGATTCGTCGACCTCTCTCAGCAGATTAGTGAGGTTGGATCTGCCTTCGTCTCGAACATGGCCCCTGCAAAGAGGGAAGTTGTGCTGCCATCGTCCAATTTCTATGGGTTGTATCCCAGCATCGCTCGAGCACTTACGATGAGGGGCAAGTTGCGCCTCCCCACCACCGGGCCTGAAGCTCAGGCCGCACTCCGAAGCGTCAAGGACGAGAACACCCGGAAGGAGGTTTTCACAGCGATGCGCACTGCTTCGAAGCAAACCGTGAACCTGCTGGAGACTATGCTGAAGCTGCGAGGTGAGCTGGCGAATCTGGCCGGCTTTTCCAGCTACGCCCATCTTGCCTTGAAAGACAGGATGATGGCCAAGTCCCCCAGTGCAGTGTTGCAGTTTCTCCACGCGCTGCAAAAGTACAACACGCCCATGGTGCAGGCGGAAATGGCAGACCTTTTGAAGTTGAAGCAGACCCGCCTTGACAGCACGTCTACTCAGATCCATCCCTGGGACAAGGATTTCCTAATGGATGGCGTGAGGGCTGAAATGAGACTTCCCGTTCGTCACCCTGACCACCTTCCCTCCTTCTTCTCGATCGGCACCGTCATGCAGGGCATGTCAAGGCTATTCACTCGTCTTTACGGCATTTCGTTCAAACCTAGGGAGTCGCAGCCAGGCGAGACCTGGCACGAAGATGTGCGACGTTTGGACGTTGTTACTGATACTGGCGACTTGATCGCAGTTCTGTACTGCGACTTATTCTTCCGAGAGGACAAGTCGCCTAACCCTGCTCACTTTACGGTGCGATGCTCTCGTGCAATTGCTCCTTACGAGGTCCAGGAGGCAGCGGAAGACCTGCACCACAACTCGTCTGACTTGCCCAAGTTTGAAAGACCCGAGCAAGCTGCCAACGATGGCATGGAGAGCTTACAGGAGAACGGCGTCTTGATGCAGTTGCCAACGATCGCCTTGGTCTGCGACTTCCCCAAGCACGATGCAAACAGCTCTGCACCAGCGCTACTGTCGTACTATCAAGTCGAGACCCTGTTCCATGAGATGGGCCATGCCATCCACTCGATCCTTGCCCGCACGAAGCTTCAGAACGTTGCCGGCACGAGATGTGCCACCGATTTTGCCGAGCTCCCTTCCACACTGATGGAGCATTTTGCCGCCGACCCATCAGTCCTTGGCTTGTTCGCGCGTCATTGGAAGACGGATGAACCTTTGCCTTACAAAATGGTCGCGGAACGGATCCGCCTGGCCAAGCGTTTCGAGGGCATCGACACCGAGAACCAGATTCTTCTGTCTCTTCTCGACCAGTCCTATCACGCCCCGGAAGTCACCGAAGGCTCCTTCAACTCAACAAAGGTCTACCATGATCTGCAGAGGCAATATGCCCAGGGCGGCCCTGATCCTCCCGGCACCTGCTGGCAAGGCTTCTTCGGCCATCTTCACGGCTATGGCAGCACCTACTACAGCTACGTCTTTGACCGCGTGCTTGCTGAGCGAGTTTGGAGGGTCGTGTTCAAAGCCGGCGCGGACGGCAAGGCGCTGGACCGCGCCAACGGCGAGAGGCTCAAGGAGAAGCTCCTCAAGTGGGGTGGGAGCCGCGACCCGTGGCAGTGTCTCGCGGATACGCTACAGGATGATCGCCTTGCTAAAGGTGACGACAAGGCCATGGCGCTCGTCGGTAGTTGGGGTATCAAAGACGACCATGCTTGAGATCGTCCTTTTCCCCGCTGGATTGTACAATTAAGAAGTAGTATCGCTGCAAGATGCGATACTGTTCACCATAGATTTGTTCTTTTGCTTTCAGCAACTCCACTATACAACGATAGCGCCTGTCCTGTTTCCGAGCATAGGATTGGGACAACCTGTTGCCGGTACATAAATTGCCGTTGCTTCAATTCGAGGCGACTTGCCGAATGGGGCAAGTTCCGAACGATAGAAGAAGACGAGTATATATCATCTAGAGCTGCGCCTCTCTGCGAAGCCGCTGAGGGACAAAGGAGAGAACCACTGGTTTTCCACCGCGGAAGTATCACGCAGGGAATAATCCGCAGCAGCAGCAGTGACAATGCCATTGCGTATGATTACCATAGATGAATAGACGTTCATACAGACAAGAGGCGCTCGGGGTTCTTTGGGGCCGGGATGGTGGCGTCGACCGGTGCATCGTGAAAGCCCACCGTCAAAGCTTGTCGCTCTCACCTCCTTTCAGCCGCTTGGGCTAGCTTCAAACTAAAGGCGCGATCCTTCTCATCTCGATTGTATAAACACCCCAAGGATCCCTGGCTCGGCAATGTTTTGCTCGTCGTCGCGTCTGTTTTCTTGTGTTTCTCCTATTCTCATGATCCCGTCCCCATGATGCTCCTCCCGATCTTGCTGGTCTCGGCCCTGGCGGGGCAGGGGTTATCGCAGAGTACGGCGACCTCTGCTTCGCCGTCTGCTTCTTCGGCTGCCACGCCATGCTATGTATGTCAACCACTGTTTATTTTTCCGTGTTTTCAAGATGGGGATGGTTAAGCTGACAGAATTCTTTTTCCGTGCTGCAGGTTCATTGTTTCTCGCAGTTCCTGGTGTACATGACCGACTCGTGCAAGACGAAATGCGCCTGCGCGGGCTCCTCTCTGCTGAGCGACTTTGAGTGCTGCATGAAGGACTGCCCTGCGGACCAACAAGCCAATATGACGCTCTCTGTGCAGAACTCCTGTACGGACGGCAAGGACCTGAAGCTCGAGTACACCTGCGCGAACACCACCCCAGACACCACAACGGCCGCGGCATCGTCGACCCCGACGGCGCTGTTCACTTCGATAGTGCTGGTATCCGCCCAAACGGCCGAGGGGAGTTCCGCTACGGGTAGCGCGGGCGGGATTGGCGGCGGGATCGGGAGTGATGGTGGGGGAGGCGGGGCGTCGCCGACTGTCGGGCTCGGGGTGGGCCTCGGAGTCGGGCTGCCGCTGGCGGCGGCGATTGTGGCGGGACTCGCGTTTCTGTGGAAGCGGTCGAGCAAGAGGAGGAGGGGCCGTGGGTTGGATTCCAGGGGCGGCCCAGCAGGGGGGTCGGCGGATGGTGTTGGGAGGACGTTTGTGTTTCCGAGCACGATGGTTCTGCCGACACCCGGGCTGCCGCCGGGGGAGGCGCAAGAGTCGAAGGATCTTGCTGGTGAGATGGAGATTACGCCTCTCGAGATGCTGGGTGATTCGAGACATCGTCAGGAGTTGTCGGTTTGAGATGTAGATTTGACTCAAAATATGGGTTACGCAGGAACACTCTGCGTTGTATATGCTCTATTAATGTAATTCTATTGCGAAGCGTCCTATTTTCGATACGATTCTCAGGTTTGTGGTTTGTCTTGCTACATGCAACCATCTGATGTGCACATTCTAGGTTGCTAAAGATACTGCCATGCCTAATTTTCCTGAGAGATTATGTGACAGAGGCCACCCGCAAGGTTGAGGATGAACAAGTTTCCAGGTCCGGCGTTCAAGGTAAGTACATTGCCCCAGCAAAGCAAAACAACTACACGCCGATGTCAGTCATGGAACTGGGTATGTTACTTGACGGAATACTCACAAGAGCCAAGATTCCTCCCTCCGCCTTGTCATCTTTTTCCCGCTCACGCAGCCTTCTCCGGCGACGTTCCGGCTCCTCGTGCACGAGCAGGCCTCGGCGAAGATCCGCAACGTCTCCTGTTAACGAAGAGTCTTCATCGCCTGTCAGTGTCTACTAGATGTAATGCAGTCATGCTCTAGCTGACGTACCGTTATCTTCACGCCTGGGATTCCGCTTACGTTCGTCCGTTTGGCAGTCTTTGGTCGCCTCGCCTTTCGCTGAGTCGTTGGTGCTACAGAGTGTGGCGCCATCCAGAGACTTGCGCTTAGAATCGATTGGGAGCATTATAGGAGAGTTCTTGCAAGGGCCGATTTATGTGTTCTGCGGGATTCGGAAGCTGGGTGTATTGTGGTCTTGGAGACGTTAAGTTACAATTCTTAAATGTCGTCGTGATAGTTGTTGCCGGGGATGACGAACATGTTCAATCACATGAAGGCAAAACACTGCCACAAACTTGAGGCATGGCCAACAAAAAGGCAACATAGGTGTCCGCCTGACGAATTGTTGTTGGGCGTTTGCGGCACAGCCCTTGGCAATCTGTGCCCGGGTTGTGTGGGTTGGCTAATGTTCACCCCACCATGGCTGTCATGATCGGTGATCCAAGAGACCCCAGAACAGTTTCGTGCAATAGATGTGCTGAAGTACATCAGCCAACAGCTGTGGGCAGTTCACTGCAAATCTGGACATGTAAAGGGGCTGGAATTATGCCTCTTGTAGTCTAAGCACACATTAAGGCCATGATTCAATGCTGGTATCAATCCAAAAAGAAAAAGAAAAATGCCGATCCTCTCTCGTGTGCACCGTAGCCCGTATGTAAACGCCTCATTACCTTCAGGTCATTATGCCTCTAATCCGTGCCGTGTGTCTATTGCTCCATGACCTCCGCAGCACCCTTCCAAAAGTCGCATCGATCCTTCTGGCCGTCGTCGACGTTCTCCATGCGGTTGTTGTTGATCTCGAAGACGAGTCGCGACTGGTTGTTCTTGCCTCCCCACGTCTTCCATTCCGGCGTGTCCGCCAGCTTGTGCACATTCGGATCCAGGTTGCGGATGAACGAGATCCAGTAGTTCATCATGATGGGCACGACGGGCTTGTTGTACGTGCGGAAGCTGTCGGGCGTCGGGCAGGCGTCGATGCCGAAGATGGCCGGGGCCTCGAAGACGTGCGGGACGCCGAGTCCGGAGGCGGTGTTCGTCTCGTCCTGTACGTTGAAGCGGTAGGACCAACTCGCGCTCGACAGATTCGAGGCAGCATAGGCGTTTAGGATGTTGTTGGCCGGGCAGATGAACGTCGTCTCGCCGTATGCTTGGCTCGCTGAGGGAAACCAGGCGTTATGGTTTGGCAGGGCGGGCAGGATGGGATACTTCTCGAGCATAGTGTCGGTTTGGTTCTGACCGAGTTTCGGGTAGTTATCTATCATGAAGTTTACGAACTGATCTTGAGTCTCGACGTTTGCTGCGAAGACAGATCCCTCTAAATATTGGTGAGCATGAGAATTTGTGCCTCTTCCATACGCAACACTCACCATTCGATCCAGTCCCGAAAAGCACAGGGACTTTGATGAACTTCCCCTTGTCGTACATGGCGTATGGGTAGTCTTGAATGAGATCTCCGTCTATGCAGGGGGTCCAGTAGAAATGCGGGTTCAGTTGTCGTCCAGGGAATGGCGATCCTGCGTTGGCTTCCTGTATCGCCTTGATGTCCTTGCCACGTAAGCAACCCATTTGATCCTTTTCGTCTTTGCAGCCCAAGTTCTCCGTCGTCTTGTTAAATTGATATTCGAGCTCGTTTACGCGTGGCTGGGCGGGGAAAAATACGGATTCGGCCATGGCTCCTACAAACATCTTCTCATCCTTTCCGCCGTGTGCTGTGAGATGAAGGGCGACTGAGCCGGCGCCTGCAGAGACTCCATGAATGACGACGTGATCCGGGTCACCACCGAACTACAAGAGTAAGCCAGAAAAGTGGTGATATCAAGATGAAACTGGTATTCACCTTTGAAATATGAGTCTTGACCCATTTCATCATCAGTCGCTGGTCGAGGACTAAAGTTCGTCAGCTTTGGTTTCCACAGTAATGTCTTATGCAAGCTTACGTCCAGCGTTGAGATCGCCGTCTTTTCGTACCCGCTCACTCGCCAGAAACCCCCACAAACCAACTCTGTAATTAAAGCCGACGAAAACGATGTTCTTGCCCGAAGTTTCAACCACTTGAGAGCCGTTCCAGTTTGGATTAGCATTGGAGGTGTAGCCTGGATGGTGTTAGTGACCTTCGACACCTGGTCCATGCATGAGGACAGAGTGAGACAGGGCACTCTCTGGCATCAACAGCGCAAGGACAGCCTTCAAGGGTCACCATACCTCCACCTTGGATGAACAACCATACGGGCAGTTTCGAGTCTGGTGTTGTGTTGTTGGGCGACCAAACATTGACAAACAAGCAGTCTTCATCTTGTCCTGCCGTGGGGTAAGACGCGTCTGTTGCGAGACAAATCGAACCAAACTAAGTGAGATGCGGTCAGCCACAGCACCCACCAAACAGACGGACATTCTCACTTCAATAGCATCTGTTGTGCCCTCTTTCTTTTCTGGATCTTGTGGTGCTCGCCATCTCAAGTTTCCTATTGGGGGCGCAGCATAGCGCATCCCCAGGAACTGATTCACCCCGCTTGGCAGCACATTTCCTGAATAATTGGCGTAGCCGAGATCAACCGCGACCCTGGGCAGGTTGAGCTGTCAAGCAGTGTTAGCTTCCACACATGCGCGGAGAGGATTCTTTGAAAAAAAGGAAATCGAACCTGATCCCGCGCGCCGATGTATTCACGGATGTTGAAGTAGAGAACGACAGTGAGGGCAGCTAATATCATGCTGGCGATGGCGAGCGGGACAGAGTGTTTCCTCCAGTTGAGGAAGCCCTTCCCCTCGAAGGCCGGGTTGAAATTTGGGCGAACATGTTTCCAGGTCATATGGTCCAAGAGCTGGTATCCCACGTGAGAGGAGCCGAAGCACTTAGCAAACCAGCTCATGAGGGGTTTGAGGAAGCCGAGCGAAGCGCAGCGCGGGGTGACTGGACGAGTAAGAGAGAGCGAGCTTTGCGAGGGAGAGTCTAAGCTAGCGGCGGCGGCATGTCGTTTCCGAGGAGGGATCCGTGCCAGTCTCACAGACTTGCTGCAGCGGGTGAGATGGCGCGGGTAGGACGCCGAAGATGAGGCCCCGATGAGATGGATGTACACGAGCCTCGTTCAGTCGTTGATGTAGGGCGGTTGGTGATTTTGCTGGATTTTCCCCGTCCCGGCAGAACCAAGAAAATAGGGGCCAAGACGTATGGAATTTGGCGATGATATCTCTGAGAACAAGGTGGAGGGTTGAACCTTGGCAGTCCCCAAGAAATGGCTCTGTTGACAGGAACGGTACTTTGGCCTGCTGCGAACGGGAAGTGGGAACGCGGGTTCACTGGGGTATCTACCTGCTTACTGCATAAGGTAGTTCCTCACCTGTCGACGAGTCGATCGATACGCTGTAAGGTACAGGCATTCTGCGACACTGGCACACGCACTCTGCGGAAACCGAACCTAGACCTGGGAAGCCACGCTCTGCAGAAGTGATGGGGGCACGGCCGCCTGTGTCATTGCACTGCCAAGTTGAAGCTGCAGTGACGTCGCCAGGGGACATGTCGGTCTACAGGGGGTGATCTGGCTTCCAGAACCTGGCACATCCGAACGGGACCCACTGGAAACACTGGAGCGACAGCCAACAGGATGCTCTAAAGACGCCGGGTTTTGGCTCTATTCGGCAACGGGACGGCAGCAGTTCACCGACGAGGGACCTGCAAGGCCCATCTTCATCTCTCCAAGCCCGGATCAGCCAGGCCGTCCGCTGTACCTACACTACCTTACCAAAAAGCGTTGTCATTGTAAGGTAGGTGTTCGTCGGAGAAGGTGGGAAGAGAAAGGTTTGCTCAACTGGGAACCTCGACTGAACAGAGTTTGCCGCAATGCAATCTGCTGCACTGGCAACAGAGAGTCCCCGGCACGCTTCGCAGCAGACAGACGGTTCCTTCCCCGGCGCGCAGGGTGCTGCCGGCTTGGCGCTTCATCTGATAGATGAGGTTGAGTCTGTTGCTGATGCTGAACATGGCAACTGAGCAACACTGGACGAGCTTCCATCCTTGCTGTATCTCTGTCTTTCCTCTGCCAAGGTTCGTGTTGATCGCTATCGTTATGGCCGGCTCTTATCGCTTCCTCCATCGGGGTTCACTGCCTTTTTCTCTGTTGCATTCCGCTGGGCCTGGAGGGGGAAAAAACTGGAAATCTCTCCGGGGACCGTGGCATAGATGAAGCAGAAATACTGGGGAAGTCTCCAGCAAACATGGGGACGGACACTTGAAGCGAACAGAAATAGAGCCGATGAGACCGATGATACGATTAGACGCGTCCATTCGTTAGCGCAGCCTGCTTCAGACCTCCAGGCTTTCCCATCAGCGAGCAAGGACCTCATCTCGGTCCCGAGAATTCGTGGCTTAGATAAGCGAGACAGATGGCTTGATGCCAACCAACGCTGAAGCTGAAGTCCCGTGATGCCGCCGTCAAGTCAGCAATCAATCCGCCCGCCCTGGACAAAGACGGGTTGTTGCCGTCTTACAACTTCTCACTGTCCGCCTGCCTGTCTTACTGCCGCCGCTGTGCGAGGAGCATCTTCAAGTGGCGGCTTGGCCCGCACGAAGCACCCACTCTGATTCATTGCAGCGGCCAAAAATAGCAGCATGACCTCGCCCGAATGTTGTGTTTGGCGTCTCGCTCTTGTTGGCTCTTTGGGGGAGGGTGGTGCAAGGCCAGAACACCATGAAGAGCTGTTGGACGCAGCCGCATGCGGATATCCCGAGTCTCGACGGCGAACCGCTGGCCTCCGTGTGTGGAGGAGGGGCGACTTGACATGACTGATAATGGCCGTCGACTCCTGTTGGTGCTGGGCGGTTGGCGGCGTGGAGGCGCACATACTTGTAGGTAGGTAAGGTAGTGGGTGTGAATCATGGTGGCTCGCAGACTGGAGGGAGGACTGGTTGCAACATGCCACGCTTGTGTGATTCGACCAGTAGGCAGAAAAGACATTTCCCTATTATTGGGGTCTCAACTTGATTCAGTTAGGCTCTCTCCCTGCATATCGCAGTGGTGTTGCTCAGGGTCTGCATGTTTCAATCCCTCTCCGCCGCGTCAAGGCGGTATCTCGCAGAGAAACGCAGCACAGCGCAGTTCGACGGGAAGCCAACAGCCACTGTTTGATCTCATGTCTGAGGTAGACACCCAGCACCCCTGGCCTTCGGTTGGGGTGAGGGTACATACAATCGCGGTATCCGTAAAAAGTAAACATTTCCATTCGAGTGCCAAGATCGGAGAGCGGGAGAAACACGTTTGGCGATGACCGAAGGCTTTCATGTGAAGGCAGTCAGCGCTCTCCAATGACAGACGGAAAACATGTTTGTTGGTGACCAAAGGCGGCATTCCAGCCATCCAACAGCCTGCCAAACGGGAATTCTCAACTTGTGTTGATAAACAGGCGGTTAGGAACATGCAGTTGTGGGTGTGATGATATGCATGTTGGTGGTGTTGGTGGTGCTATCGTGTGAATTTCATGTTCCCCTCTGCCGCTAGACTGCTAGGCTAGGCCGGTGAGAATGTGAAGACAGTTGAAAAGAGACTAGCACGGCCAGAGACTGACCAGTAGACAGCAGGACGCCTGGAGACGTGTGCTAACAGTCGATACTTGGGGCGCTGACCACAATGAGGTGCTGGCAGGGAAAGGGGTCCCCTGTCCGTTTGGTTTGTTTCCCCCCGGCGGCTCGGAAGATCTGGGCCGGCGCAGAGCTACGCCATTGGCCAGCCCAGGGGGGAATGGGTACCTTCCGCTAAGAAGTGACGATGTTTTTGCTGGGGACCAGCAGGCAGAGACTTAAGATCCCGACATGGCCCTTCAGGTAGCCATTAGCGTCGCTTCGCCACACCTTGCTTGCGTTCGCGCAGGTGCAGCCGCGAACGAGCGAGCCACGCTGATGCATCTGTGTGTGATCCCACACTCTTCTTCCCGCCATACTTTCACTTTCAGCCCTCGCTGGCCTGATTCGCTTCTAGTTCTGCTTTGGCCTTGCTTTGCCTTTTTTTTCTTCTCCGTCTGCATTCATCTGCTGCAGAAGACTGCGGTTGCCCTTCTCTTCGTCTCAACGCCGGCCCTACAACTCCAGACGATTTCATCATGACATATCCCACCCGCCCCTCGCGCTCTTAGCTCACTTGCGACAACAACTTTGAGGCTCTTTGACTATGGCCTCCGGCACTGATATCCGTGGGGAAGGGGCGCCGCGGCCGTCCATTGAGAAACCCCCCATTCTCTCCCAAGATCCCGCCTTTGATCGATTGCCCGACGAAATCATCCAGCAGTATGCCTTCTGTCCCCCAGCTCTAGGCTGCAGCATTTCCTAACCCACCCTGCTCTAGGATTCTTCAGCTTACCGACCCCGACTCGTTTGCCTCACTCGTCCTTCTCAACTCGAAATGGCGTCAAGTCTCTCAGCAAGCGCAGCTCTACGCTCTCCACCTCTCGAAATGCGAATCCTACTCCGCGAGCCATCCTCCTTTGCGCGAAGCTGACGTCAAGGATGAAGACCTTCCCCGACTAAGGCGATTGTTTGCCAGAGAAGTCAAGCGCAATCTCTTTGAAGCCTACCTGCGACCCCGCGAGACCGTTATCCGCCTGATATCCAATTCCATTAGCTCCTCGTCATGCCCGGGCGGCGAAGGGATGCAATTCAGTCCGTCGCCCCGCGGTCACCATGTTCTGGCGTACAACTCTTCTCGAATCTATGTGCTTGATATGAGAGGGAAAGAAATAGACGTCAAGAGGGAATTCAAGATCTTGCGCCGACCAGTTTCAACCTGCATAAAGGACGATGGCTCTATGTTGGCGGTCTTGTCCTCGGAAATGCAGGTCGATCTTTACGATCTTGAGCCGTCACCTCCCCGCCGCACACAGTCCCTGATCTTAGACCATGCCCCACGCACGATCGCCTTGTCGCCATGTGGTTCCGTTTTGGCTGCAGCTTATGAAGGCGGCATTGAGGTTTCGATGGTCAATCCAGGCGCATTGCCTACGGACAGGAGAGCCGTCAAGTGCGATGGTGTCGATTCCCTTTCTTTCTCCTTTGACGGAACACAGATCCTTGGAACTACTGTCCACTCATCGCCTCCCAACACCGTCATCCTGACCGCTCCCTACTACGACCCCGGATCCCAAATGGCAGATGATAACATCAGCGCTCTTTGGACAACTTCAATTCTCTTCCCCAATACGAGTCGAGATTGTAGTCATGCCGTGCTTCTTCAAGATTCATGCCAGGAGGAGGCAGCCTGGACCTTTACTTATGATCGTAGCTTTGAGACTTTCAGGGCTGTACGCATCGACGACTTGCGCAACGGAACGACATATTTCACTGGTCCAAAGCCTCACCCGGCGTCTCAAGCGAAACTCACGCCGTGCACGCTCCCAGCAGCTACATATCACGGCGACCTGGTCAGCGCCGGCTTCCAAGGCAAGGATATCTGGCTGTACGGTGTACCAGAAGATCTTGACGCTGTGCCCGAGTTCTCTTCTGGGTCCGATTCATCATCTTCTACGGGTCAAGGACGACGCAACAGCGGTCCTCCGTCCCGTTCATCCTCTGCGCGAGCGCAAGAGAACCCGAGAGTGCCGCAATGGCAGATGCTTTGCGATAAGCTGCGGAACACCTTTGTCTGGGGAGCCAAGATTGCCGAGCTTGAGGGCGTGAGCACTGTGAAATGGGTTTCTGGCTTTGGCGAAACATCCTCCCAGGAACGTCTAGTCGTCGCGGCTCGCGGCATCTCCCCTACCAAATCCATCGTGGACGAAGACGATATCGACTTTATCGATGGCGGCAGGGTCACTCTGCTTGATTTTGACTACGGTATTGAGGACGGCGTTAGGACGGAGATTGAGATCGAAGTTGGCACAAGAGAGCCTGAAGTCCTAGAGGAGGAACAGAGAGACATCGACACCGAGGTTGCTATTGTTCGCCGTAGGACTGTAGCACAGAGACGGGGTGATCGCGGTCATTTGATTCGTGCCGCTACCAGTGCTGCGATCCGAGGCAACCCTATGCCCTCAATTCCTCCTCTGCCACAGCCGAGAGAAGAACCTGAAACTGGTGAGGACGAGGACGATGACGACGACCCGCTGGTTCCCAGGCGTGTGGGTGCCGTGCCCCGCATCAATGTCGAGCAGCCAGCATCTGCTACTACCCGAGACGAAGGAGGTGAAACAGCTTCCATGATTGAGGAAGAAGAGGCCGTTGAAGCCCCTTACGCTCATGATGGGCCTCGATCTACAAACACGCTCCGCCGCGCCGCAACTGCGGCTGCAATGAACCGACGTCGCAACCCCGCGCCTCCCGTTGCTGGGCCGGTTGAATATAGACGTGCTGATGGCCGACGTGAGCATCCTCATGAGAGCGATGCTGACAACTGGGTTCCTCCGCCGCCACCATACCAAAAGGAAGACCCAGGCGACTTGCCGTCTTTCTTGCGAAACGCTGCCATTACACCCAACGGTGTACATGTTCCCACCCAGCCATCTAGGACACAGACAGCCGCGCCCACGATCGGATCAGCCTGGCCCTTGCCCAGTCGTCCAACTCTCGCTCAGACATCTCCTCGTCCTCTTAGTTACCAGGAACCAGGCAGCGTCAGTCCTGCTAATACGAGCCAGCATCTGCGGGTCGCTAGTGACACCACGCACATGAGCCGACCTCGCACAGCGGACTCAGATCGACCATTGTCTATTCCTGTCTCTCGTGTGGACGATGAGGACGACATCTACGACGTTTCACCACCTGATTCTCCTCGGGTCGCGGCGAGGAGACTGAGTCAAACTGAGCCCACGGATGAACGCGAACGCATCGTTAGCGAAGTTTCAGTCATTTCGCCGATGAGCAGAAGGGTTAATTCCGACTTGGTGTCCCCACAGGATTCTTTGGCTTCACCAGTCATTCATCAAACCCAGTCTCCTCCCTCTTTGGGTTTGGAGATACCATCCGCAGGCCTTGGCATCATCGCCGGGCCACTCATGTCCCAGCCAATCGACGATACTCATACAACCCTAGTGAGGCGTCTGTCGAACGCACAAACATGGCCAAGATCTGCTCAGCCTGCCACTGGGCCCCAACTTGGCCCTGAGGCTGATCCGTTAGCCAGCCATCCGTATTCGGCTCCCGCGATCAATGCTAGTGTGGACATGATTATGGCTTCCGCATTGCCGCCTCCACCCAGAGCCGACCAGCTGGCTAGCTTACAGCAACATGATCAGCAAACTCCCCCTCGGCGGTTTTCTGGTAACTTCAGTTCTGTACAGCGCGTTCCTGTCGGCAGTCGTAGGCCTGGTTCACGTAGAGCGTCCGTTCCCCAGCCTGGGCCTCCGTTAAGCGCAGAGCAACCCCCGATACCGAACAATGGTAACAATTCGCCCGTTGAGGATCAACCACTCATCATCAGTACTCCTGGGGGCGTTGTGGGTGCCTACGACTTACCCACACGCCAACAGTCCAATCGCCGAGGGGAGATGCCCTTGTTGGCACCTATTCCTCGTCATGCTCGTCCGGCGCAAATCGGCCCCCTAAGGCCGACGGTGGAGCGGCTCGAGACTATATACAGCGTCAACTCGACTAACCCTGCTGGGCCGGGGCCCGCTGAGGCCTCCGGAAGTAGAAGTCTGATGCCGGCCTGGCTCCAGGCGCCGTCGACAGCTTCAGCTGGTCGACAGTCACATTCGCCTGTGAGCCGTAAACCCAGCCGTGCCGAACGGAGTGCAGCCAAAAACATCAAGGACGCAAAGAGGCGAGGATGGAACGGCTCCAAAAAGAAGAAGAAAAAGAAGATTGACCCCGAGGTTGCCAGCACTGCTGCGTGGACCGATGTCTCGGGCGTGAGCCGAAGTGAACACCACGGTAAACCAGAGAAAGAGAAGAAGTGCGTCGTTATGTGAGGACTTGGTCGGAGTCTAGCTCTCCACTGGGGGCAGCGAATCTGCTCTCGTGTCTGGCTTGGATGCATTGACTCTTACGATTGATATTTCAGCACTGGAGTTGGACAGGTCAAGAGACGGAAATCTGGTTGATATTTTTGGGCACCTAGCGGGGAAGAAAAAGCAGCATGGTGATGATTTGGAGGGTTTTAGATTTCCTTCCTACCTGCTAGACTCCACGGGACAGCCGTGCTCTAGTCACAGACGGTATTCAATGATGACCAGCATGAGTCGGTCTACGATACCATTTCTTAGCGTATACCACTTCTCAGTACAGATTTTCACAATCTAAATATATAAATTCTCAGAGTTCTATCGTATTTTCGCACCTGCCTCGTTCACCAAGCAGCCGTTTCACGGCAAGTACGCAATAGTTTCGTTCGAGGCGGGGAGACATTTATAGTGTTGAACTTTGTATGTGTATACTCTCAATTTACTTTGGGTCCAGCACCTAGTAGGTGACCAACAACTATTATAAAAAAGCGACCGTGGGGTATAATAAATCCTTTCCAAACAAACGCCAAATGTACCCCAAGCCCATCGACAGGAACGCCGTCGCCCAGAGGAGAGAGGGCTGTAATCTAAACCAGATGAAGAACAGACTAAAAAGCAAGAAAAAGCGAACGTCTATGCGATCTTTTCTCCAAATCCCCATGCCAGCATGCACCGTTATCATCCCCCTCAAGAATAGTATAGAAACGAAAGTCTTTGCACCGTAGATAAGGGGCAGAAGAAACAGGAATTACAAAAAGTGATAAAACGATTCATGAGAACTTGTCAACCCACATCACGCCCGACGTCGTCCATCAGACTTGCCTCGGGGTCTGCGGCACATAGGGCTTGCCGCGCCGCACGTCGCCCAGCTCGGCCTCCTCCATCATCTCCGTGAAGGACGTCAGCCTCTTGTGCCCGGGTCGCAGGACGGTGCGCGGGTCCGCGAAGACGTTGATGCTCTCGCTGCTCGGCTCGCGCGGGAGCAGGGGGTTCTGCGCGCCGGGCGGGCGCCGCCCCGAGTTCGGACGCATGCCGCGGATCGGCGGGACGGGGATCCCGGCGCGCTCCGGTGTGCGATCCGGCGGGGTGCGCGGCTTCACGGAGTCGCTCCTGGCCAGGCCGATCGGGGGCTGCTGGTGCGCGGCGAGCGTCGTGGCGGTGGAGGAGGAGTTGCGGGAGTGGTTGTAGACGCTCCAGCCGGTGCGGGAGTTGTGCGAGTGGACGGTGGAGGGTGTCTTGAGGATGAAGTCGGTGCGGTTGGCCGCGTCTGAGATGGGGATGGGGTCCGAGATGATGTTGCCGAAGGAGGAGGTGGACGTCGAAGGACGGGGGCCGCCGCTGCGCTTCTTTTCGGATCGGATGGTTGTGTTGCGGCGGCGGCGACGGGCAAGGAAGAGGAGGAGGGCGACGCCGAGACCCACGCCCGCCAGGACGCCGCAGAGGACGCCGATGACGATGGCTGTCGGGAACGTGCTCCCGTTGTTGTTCTCGTCTTTGCTGTCGCCGTTGCCGTCTTGTTGGGCCGGCGCGGTGGCGGTCGAGGTTGCGGAGGCAGACGCTGCGGTGGATTCGGGGGAGGAGGTCGCGATGGTTGTTGGGATCACGGTGACGCTCCTGATGGGCACGCTGGATGTGGCACCCGGCGTGGTCGTGGGAAGCTCGGAAGCCGGCACCGTGGTCGGTTTCTGGGTCTGGTTCGCGTCCTTCACGCACTGGTTCGCGCCGTTGCAGGTGTAGCCGAACGGACAGCATTGCGTGCCGCACGTCGGGAGCTTGCTCTTGAGAGCCGTGGTCTTGATCACGGCGTCAGGATGAGCGTCGGGGTCCTGCAACGAGACGGCGCAGTTGATGGGCGTGATGCGGTCGCAGTTGCTTCCCTCGGGACAACAGAGGACGGTGGTGTTGCCGGCCAGGGCGATACATGTCGAGCCCGACTTGCAGCAGAAGGACGAGGGCAAGCCGCTGCCGCTGCAGGGCGAGAAGCCTTCGGCTGCACATGTCGACTGTCGTTGGAAGATGGAGGGGAGAGAGGCTGCGTGAGCCGAAGCGACGAGGATCGAGAGCAGCGTGGCTCGTGTGCATTTTCGTAACCTCGCCATAGCTGGGGGATGATGTCGAGTGTATGCCGTGTAATCGGCCAAATTCTTTTAGCAGAGCGCGTCGTGCGAAAGGTTGACAAGTTTGCGTGGAACACAGTTCTTGCTCTTCGGAGTCAACCGCGTGTGTAAGTCAGAGGCAGTTGGTGGTATGTGTCAACAAGTAGAGAGGACAAAAGAGAAGACCAGAACCGTCGGCGGTCCTCGAACAGAGGCACAAAGGTGTAGAAGTAGGTCGAGGCTCGGAGACGTTTCGTGGTAGGTCGAAGACAAGTAGACAATGAAGTTGTCACTATTCGTGGAGTGATTTGTGAGAACAAGGAAACGACTACTTAGTTGTTCATCGAGTAGGCAAAGAGGCCGCACAAAAGAAGCGAGGACACGGCCCAAGGAAACAGGCAATGATGACCTCAGAGAAAGAAATGAATGGAATCAGATGTCGGGTAGGAAGAGGAAAGGAAGAATCGTTCGAAAGATGGGCTGGAAGATGACGATTCTGTTTCCACCCGACGTTTAGACAGGCCGTCCAAACCCAATCTTTTTTCGTCCTGCACATATCGCGGCAAGGCGGCAAGGGGCCCTCTACAGCCTCCAGTTCAGCTCTGCCACTCGGCAGGAGGACTCCCACGGCACCCATACGCAAGAAACAGTCTAGCAGACTTTTTTCCTTCCTCGCCTGCTGCGCGGCTGCGAAACGATCGAGCTTGGGGTCCTATGCATAGGACGGTAGCCACCCGATCGACCTATGCTGCTTGGGGACCCGGCTGGACGGTGGCCAACCAAGCGGCCAGCGGGCGGCATCGCGGCGACTTGGAAGGGTTTTGCCTGCAAAACTCCTACGCAAGCGCGACTGGATCGCAGGGCATTGCTGCTATTCCTCGTCCGGAGCTGGGGTAAATGGGGTGGAGCGATGGTGTTGCGCGAGCCGTATGGTTTGGTTTGCAATATCTCTGGTCCCCAGCGTTGCAGCGCTTCCTACCTTACGACCCCCAAGATTGGGCGGCTCAGAGTCTGGCCTTGAGGCAGTGCAGGTCTGGGTAGTCGCCGGGCCGTTGAAAACGAGAGGCTCTCGACGAAGCGCCGGAGAGTCGTCGCATGTGGACCCCCGGTCCCCTTGAGCAGCGGCGGGTTCGAGCAATTTCTTGTGGTGAAGGCCATGTTGTGAGAGGTTGAGACTGCAGTGCAGCGAGAAGCCGCCGACGAACGAAAAGGCGAAGGGGTCGCTGCGCAGTGCCAGAGTGTAGCCGCGCACCGCAAACGCGCGCCTGTGATTCGCCGACGGCATCGACCACAGGGCGGCCCCTGCATCTGATGCCCTGGGGCGACTCCATTGTGCAGTGCAAGTGCCCCACGCTACCTGTTGTTGTTCCCTTTCTTAGCGTCCGTCCCTCTGCCATTGTCTTTTGCTTTTTTCCGGCTTGTCTTCTTTTGGGAACTGTTAGTTGGCCACTATTCCCACCGTTCTTCTGCAAAGACAACGACACCAGGAATAAGTCGGTATTAGTTGAGGCAACCTGGCCAGGGAAACAAGGTTATTCATCAGGTTTTCGAAGCGAAGATGCCCTTGCCGGAGCCAAAGCCCAATAGGCCGCCGCCACCTCATGCGTCCAAGCCACATGTGACGTACGCCTCCATTCCAGCCACTCGCCTCCTGGTATGTGGCATTTGGCCCCCGGCTTGACAACAGCTCCAGCTCCAGCTCCAGCTCCGCTCTCTTCCGGGCTCCCTCTCGGCGGCGGTCACAAGACCCGTCCACCGTCTCGCGAAAACCTCACCTTGGGGCGCCCGATCGGCAGCCGGCAGGACCTCGCTGCCACTGACAAGCCGCAGACTCTCCCCAAAGGAAGAAACCGGACCATTGACAACGGCCACGACCCAACGGCCTCCCCAATACGCGGTAGGCCTTGCCCGTCCGCTGCAGGGCCAGCATCATCAACCCGTCTGGTGTCCTTCAGCTTGTCAAGGGGGGAGGCGTGTGTTGTGGCCGATGTTCGTCTGCAAGTCAGTGCCGTGCAAATGCGCCCGAGGCAAGAACAACCCAACGACGACCACGTCCCATCGTCGCAATCGCCGTCGGTGTAAGTCGGACAGTTCCCAGGGTCCCCATCTCCAAAATGTGAACCCCTCCGTGATCTACGTCAAAAATCCGCCTTGCTAACGTTTTCTCCCCCCTCCCCTCCATCATCCCCCTCCAGTGTCGCGCCTGTTGCGGCCCTCCGAACCAACAGGCCCCGAAAATCTTCAACCACGCCCCTCCCACGCATCAAGACGGCATTCGTCAAAAATGCCCAACTGACAAAACAAAATCCTCCCCCCGCCAGAAACAGAGAATCGCACGCCCGATCCAGTGGTCTCTCCTCATGTCCTCCTGCATCTGCAGGGCCCCCTTCCTTCCCTCCCACCCCAGAGACAACCTCTCAAATCTCGAGGAATGGGTGCAACTTTGATAGTCATAAACTCGGCAAAGGGAGAAGAACCATACCATACCGCCAGTATGGCAAAAGACAAATAGCAGCCGCAGTTCGGCCCATCACGTGGGTACCCATGAAAGGCGTGACCTACCTACCCTACCCCCTGGCCCTGGGCCTCCTCTGCCGTTTTCCCTGTTTTCCTGCCTTTTCGCTCGTCCCCTAAACCCTTTCCACTGCCTATCAAACCATTTTCCCAGCCCCAAAGAGGCCGAACGACGGAGGATGCCCGGCAACGGAGACGAATTGCCAGCCCAAGACTCCATCTTTGCCAATTCACGATGATTCACACTCCCGCGCGCTGTGACTCGAAAACGGCGGTGAACGTGTTTTTTTCTCGACTCCCTGGGTCGCTTTTCGTTTTCCTTCCCGCCCTGCCATCATCCATCATCCACGTCCCCTGCCTTTTCTTGAACCGTGGGGTTGGAAGTGGGCTCTCCCGTCCCTCGTTCTTCCGTCATCCAAGACAACGAACCCAAAATGCTAGACCACACACCCCTGCCCTGTCTCTCGTCTGTTCAGATATGCCCACACAGAAAATACCAACAGAGGGGTGTATTGTAAATTCAGGCATTGGAATTTGCAGGTGAAGATCAAGAACAAGACACACTCTCGGTGTATCTTCCTCACAGTTATTCCAATACTGTGATGCCTTTTCCCCCAATCTACACACACCCCAAGAGACTAAGAAAGAATTGAACCATGTGACCTGCTCTATGGAACCTCCAGACCGCACGAGAGGCGCAAAACACCTCCCGTTTTCCCCATTCCCATTCCCATCCCCGTCAACTACCGTCCTATCACCCATCACAAATTGTCATTGACCCGAGAGCCCTGACGTCGATGGCGGGCAGCATGGGATCTCTTTTTCACTCTCTCTGCGTCGCGAAACGTGAGTGAGAGAAAAACGCCTCGGCCTCTCTCCATAAACCCTGCCACTTACACCCTGGACGGGTTTCCTAATCCGTGCAAACCGTCGGCGTCGGCTAAGAAACACCACGGAACAATGAACAACGTCAGGTGGACAACGACGACGGGCAAGACCCCGGACAATATCTCACCGAGGCCCCTGCCATCCCTCACCGCTACCTACCGGCCGGAACCGACACTGACCTAGGTGAGTGATTGCTACATACGTACTACCTCACACACAACCCCACCTCCGGCATCGCAAGCACGAGGACTGCACCGTCTCGTCGTCTGTGAAAGTGGCGGGTGGGGCTGGGGTGGAAAGGAAGGGTTTCCAAGGGAGACTGGAGCGCGGGCGCGTAAAGTGCTCACGCATCGTTCAAATGTCTCAGTCGATCTAGATATTCTCCTCGCGGTAGGAAAGAATGACCAATGACGATTCACAGCTGTCTCAAGAGGTGAAGAAAGACCTTGGGGAAATACGAAGTTACAATTCTGCAAACCTTTTTTCGTGCTTACTCGTGCCAAACAAGTCGGAGCCAGTCGCCTTCCATCGGACGGACGCCTGCATGGGCGCGCACACAATGCCAGTGTCCCTCCTCAACCCGTGATGGGATGTGTTCCCGATATTCCCGTCAAATAGACAGACCGAATCCACGTCCCCAAATAAACCTCTCACCTAAGACGAAGACTTTCTTTTTGGTTTGGCTTGGAATCGTCCCATGGTGCTGACCATCCCCACCCCCTCCATCTCTGTAAGTCGTAGGTAAGCTTCGGTCCAAGTGCTTCCAAAGGGAAGGTGGTGGTTGATCCGCCACGCCAATCAGCAGTGCCGTCGTAGTCCGACACCCCTCCCCCCCCTTGACGCAGACTGGCCCAGACACTCGAACGATGGACACCAGTGAATTTGCTGCTGTCGAGTGCTTGCGAATCATTCACAGGCCTGTGCAAAGACACGAATCATACCGAGAGAAAACGCTAGAGGTAATCACTTTTGAAATTGTTGGGTATATTTGGTATTACATGAATCCCAATCCCTGCTCGATTCGCCCCGATGACTCTATAGAGTGAATGCGGTCGATCGAGCCCACCCCGTGTGTAAGAAGTCAACAGGGAAGCTAGCCCATCACAGCTCCCAGAGCCCTTCTTTCGTTTCCATCCGATCCAGTCCAGATGCACCGAAATGCTTGTTCCCCGAATGTCCCAAAAACCCTAAAACTCCGAATGAAGGCGCCCCGATTCCTTGGCTCATGCTGAGGTATAATGTTGAGAGGGGAAAAAACGAAGATGAGATCAGGCGGAACCCTAAAAGATTGTCCGGTCTGATGGAAAGGGAAAATGTAGCGTTCATCGCATTTCGTATCTCCAAGCGCATGTCAGGGCCTCATCCCAGCTGTTACCCGTCCTGTCTGTCATCCATCGTCATCGGTCATCCTGGCAGCCAGGCCTAGCTGCCCCGTGTGTGAACCCTCTCAGAGATAAAGTTGTCCAAAAAGAAGAAAAAGTGTGATCCAAGTGTCTTTGCTCTCTCGTAGTTCATGTCCGCTCCGTTCGCCTTGCGGCGGTGTCCTTCTAGTAACCCCGAAGCAACCTGGGATCAGGTTGGTGTAAATCAGAAAAATGTGG